GTAGCTCAGGTCTCACCCTGTAGAGCACCTCGTTGACAGTGCCCAACAGTAGCAGCAGCCCGGGGACAGGCTGCTCCGTGGCGGGGGATGCTGCCAGCCCATCAGAGCACCGGCACGCAGGACACCCGTGGTGTGGGCCCCGCAGAGCCCCCAGACCAAACGGTGAATGAAAGTGGCGTTAAAAAAACAGGCTTGGGATTTGATGCTGAATTCTCTGTGCCCTTACCCGTGGGGTTTTACTTTTCCCTGTTTACTGTCACCAGTGATGGGAAGATGCACAGGAGCACCAGCGGGGACATGGCCTGGTTGCCTCCTTCATGGGGGACAAGCACCGTCTGCTCATGCTGCATCCCACAAAGGTGCTCCCCCCACCCCAAACCTCTCCCCTTGGCAGCGGAGAGGTCAGACCCCTCTGACACTGAGTTCAACAGTGAGATACAAGTGCTGCAGGAGTGGTGGTCGCAATCTAGGGGTGCATTTGGGCTGCCCCATGCTCAGCCCGGCCCCAAGCAGCAGCACCAGGGCTGCTGTGAAGCTCTGTGGGGTGACGTCCCCCTGCAAGGGAGTCACAATTGGGTGGGCAGGCAGAAGCCTGGGCATCTCCTGGGCTGGCTATGCCCTATGTGCCCTCAGGCCAGAGCCCTACCAGAGCGAAGGGGGCCAGGGACTGTGGCGCATTCACAGAATACCAGAATCACCTCAGTTGGAAAAGACCTTGAAGATCATCCAGTCCAACCATTAACCTCACACTGACCATTGTCAACTCCACCAGATCCCTCAGTGCTGGGTCAACCCAACTCTTCAACTCCTCCAGGGATGGGGACTCCCCCCCTGCCCTGGGCAGCCCATTCCAACGCCCAACAACCCCTTCTGCAAAGAAATACTTCCTAAGAGCCAGCCTGACCCTGCCCTGGTGCAGCTTGAGGCCATTCCCTCTTGTCCTGTTACTTGTTCCTTGGGTCAAGAGACTCACCCCCCCTCTCTGCACCCTCCTTTCAGGGAGCTGTAGAGGGTGATGAGGTCTCCCTTCAGCCTCCTCTTCTCCAGACTAAACCCCCCCAGTTCCCTCAGCCGCTCCCCATCAGACCTGTGCTCAGACCCTGCACCAGCTCCGTTGCCCTTCTCTGGACACGCTCGAGTCATTCAATGTCCTTTTTGTAGTGAGGGGCCCAAAACTGAACCCAGGAATCAAGGTGTGGCCTCACCAGTGCCGAGTACAGGGGTAAGATCCCTTCCCTGTCCCTGCTGGCCACGCTAGTGCTGATACAAGCCAGGATGCCATTGGCCTTCCTGGCCACCTGGGCATAGTGCTGGCTCCTGTTCAGCGTTGTGATGCTCCGAAAGGCCATTTCAAAGGTTGTGGTGCAAATCCAGACATCCCTGGATCAGCTTTGCTCAGCGCCAGCCCTCTAGCACTGTGGCAGGTGCTCTGCAGCACCCTGTACCCAGGAGCAATGCTGTGATTAGATGGCTGATGCTGTGATGAAATTAGTACTGGGGTAACGTCCTGGCAGGAGAGACTGGGAACAGGTAGCGGCTGTACAGTCCAGGGCAGAGCTCCCAAGGGGCTGAGACCACCCTGTCACAGCACAGCTCTGATTTGGTCCCTCCACTTGGGGCGAAGCTGGCTAGAGCTGGAGCAGATCTCTGCTCCTGCACCCATCAGGGCGGTGGGTGCACCCTGGCTCCCTGACAGTGACCCTGGAGCAAGGAGGAAGCCCCTAAGATGGGATTTGGGGCAGTCACGGTTTGCTTTGGGAAAGCTTGTCCTTAGTGCACAGATGAGAAGAGGCAAAGAGAGCTCCATGTTTATCCCACTTGTAAAAAGGAGTAGATTGATTTTACAAATATTAAGGATTAATCCCATTAACATGGTCTAAACAAAGGACAAAAGACAAATAAATATTTCTGAAGCAATATCTGCCAGCTAGTTTTTTTTCCAGCCTGGAAGGAAGTGACTGGGATTTCCCTGGAGTTCAACTTTTCAATGATTTCTTCTTTCTAGAGCTCCCTGACTGCCTGGGAAGAGCCACTCCTCTTCCCAAGCCACTGGGAAAAAAGCAGCAAGCGAGGCCAGATGTCTCCTGGCCATGGGGCCAGGCTGTCACCACGAGCCCCCATCCCTCCTTGACCACAGTGCTGCTTCCCACCCTCCCAGGCACTTCACATGGTCCCACATATGTCACAGGCCGCCCAGGGATGATGCAAAAAGCATCCCTGGCACCAGTCTTTGTGGTACTGGCAGGGGCCCCATTTTGGACCATTTTCTCTCCAGGAAACCTTCCGGGGGAGGCAAACTAAACCTCTCCTGGGCCCACGTGCTGAGAAGAAACACAAGTCTCACGCTCGTCAATAAATTCTGTAAACAAGCACAATTTTCCTCCCACTCTGTTTTCCAACTCCTTCCCACCCTGCAAAGCTGATGGAAACATCCTGATGAAGCACAAAGCGTTTCTGGCCCCCAGAGCTGCCCTGGGTCACCGACCACGGGATTTTACCCTCCTCCAGCTTCTTGGAATAATGTTTCCTTGAGGGCAAAAATATCACATGCTTTTTCTCAATTTGAGAGGGTTTTAGGAAAGCCAGAGAGGGGAAAAAAAGTCTCTTCATGTGTTGAGATGAGCAGATAACCGAGCCAGGCGCTCGTCCATGCACGTTATTTTACATCGCATCACACGTCACCAAGAAGGCTGAGTCAAGAGACTTGGTTACAACAGGTGTTTTTTCCATCCAGGATCCAGTAGTTTTAAACATAATTAGTGGGACTGCCTGTATAACAAGAGAAAACCTCCAGTGGGAAGATGTAATAAATCCAACCCCTCCTTAATTCACCTGCCTTTTAATTATAAGGAGGTGAAAATACACACATGGGTATTAAAAGGCTTGGGGACAGTGGGGGGGACAGGCAGCTGCTGGTGCCCATGGGTAAGAAACTACTTGGGAAGATGCTACATGTGGGTGAGGGTAAAAAAATTGGGGCAAAAAGGACTTCTGGGAGCACTTAACATTTCTACTTCTGCAACAGCCTGAAAAATGTCCTCATGAAGCCCTATCTTTGTACAGGACATGAACCATAGAAACTCATTTATCCTGGCAAACAGGATAAAGCAGGGAGATAGTGCATGGGTGAGCAGCTCAGTCACCTGTCCCTTTCCACCCAAAAACCCCGACATGTTCCCAGGAATGAGGACTCTGGGGTGCTCCTCAGGGCATGGGGCAGCATCCCATAGCCCAAGCTCCAGCAGGTCCTTTCTCATCCCAGCTGCTCCCACACGGAACCATTCACTCCTGGACAGCTTACAAAACCGCAAGGGCTTTTTGGAAATTTATCCCAGTTGGGGGCAAAAGTTTTCCAAAAGAGAAGAAGGAAAGAAGACCAAAAAAAAAAAAAAAAGAGAACAAGAAAAACAAACAGTATCTTTTAAATATTTCAGGCTTCAGAAATCCGTTTCCTGGCCAGCGCGAGGAAGTGCCAGAGTCTGGGTGGATGAAGGTCACAGGACAACGGGGCCGGGATGGGGGAGGCACCGACCCCCCCGCTGCCAGCCTGCACGGTGCCCGCCAGGGAGCTGGAGCCCAGACAAACCCTGCCTTGTGTGCCGGCTCCCAGGAAGAGGGAAACCATCCACTGAAGTGAAACGGAGACTTGTTATTCCAGCACAAACAAGAGCACAGGGAAGCTCATGGAGGAACGGTTGCGATATTCCTCCCCTGCTCAGTCATGTCCATGCGTTCAGCAGAGCCTCAAATCTCCCCTTTTCCCTATTTTCCCTTGTATTTCAGCACACAATGCTCTAGAATCGGGTTTCTTTGCACTTCATAAAATCCTGAAAGCAGCCAAAGCAACTCCCTTTGCCAGAGGGTCGTAGTGAAGCGACCTGGAGCTGTGAAACCCCCCGGGAAGGGGCAGGAGATGGCGTACCGCAGCCTGAGCTCGCACGGGATGCCCACAGCCTCGCTTGTGTTCATCCCAGCAAAATTTCTGTACATTCAGCTTTTTAGCCACTTATTTAAAGCACTCAGCATTTCCACAAGGACCGAGCCTTCCACAGATCTGCTCTCATCTGCTGTACAGAGCTTCTTCCGGGGACAGGGTCAAATTTTGGGAGGAGGAATGCTGTGGCAGCTCTTGCATTCTTGATAAAAGCTTTTCTGGACATGAAACCGCCTGCCCAGCAATCTGCACGCAATTGGGGATGGGTGAGAGGGGCTGCTGGTGGCAGACCCCCACCCTGGGCACAGCACTGTGTCCCTGGGCTGTTTCCATCCCTCACTGGTCCCCCCCAACGCCACCCCGGGGTCGGTCAGGGTGCGGGTGCAGCGCGGGGTCCTCACCTGCCCTGCTCTGCTCCGCGGGCTGGCTGGGCACCTCCTGCCACCCAGGAATGGATGCGGGGCTCAGGGACACCTGGGTGCTCCTCGACCCTGGAAGAGAGGGAAACGCTTTGGTTACAGCAGCGCCACCGCCGCCTGCCCCAAGCCCCCGCTGGGCACCAAACAGACTCGAAAAATGCTGGGTGTGCCAGCATGCCCTGGGGTGCAGCCACCAGTGCCAGTGCAGCTGCAGGCAGCTAATTCCTGCTGATATCAGGATTAGGTCCAGCCCCCCCGGCTCTCATCGCTGGCCCCCAGCCCCACATAGCAAAACTGCTGCTTATCTCAGCTGTGAGCAGGGATTTCATAGCATGGGCTGAACAATCCCTCCTTCACCGGTGGGGATGTTGAGCCCCAAAGCAGCCAGTCAGAGTCTCTGGGTGCCGGCAGCTGCCCACAGCCACAGGACTCCCCACAGCACCACAGAGGGTCAGGATGTGCCCCCCCCCCCATCACTCTGGAGCCTCGTGAGGGCCAGCATGGCTCGGGGCAGGCAGGCAGAGATGGTCCTGGGCACGGACAGAGAGGCCATTATTCTCTGGGAAATTTATAGCTGCTATTGTACAGGCAGAGAGCAAGGCCTGGGCTGTCCGAAGGGGCAGCCATGGCTGCAGAGGGACCCTCATCCTCACATCGCTAATGGATCGGGCTTCGGCGACAGCCCCAGCACCCCTACAACCCAGGAACCAGCCTTTTAGGTCCTTCCTGTTACCAAATACAAAACAGCATTAACTCTGTGAGGGTGATGCCTGGTGCTGGCACTCCCCTGTCCCCAATGCCAGCACGTGTATGTCCCCGGCTTGGTCCCAGCAGCTTTCCCAGATGTGCCACAAGGCTTTTTGGCTGGAGCGCGGCTATTCCCCACCCTTCAGTGCAGGGGGTGCATGAGGATTTTTCCATAAGGCCTGACAGCTTGTTTGAGGGATTCACACAGCAGGTTGTCAGTGGAAGAAACCACCCCTCTGAGGGGAAAATGCAGAGATGGGGGCTGCAGGTGGCACCCGGACAGTGAGGGCAATGCCTTGCAGCTTGCAGGCACAGCTCCCATCCCGGTGCTGTGCAGGAGCAGGCGGTTCCTCGGCCATGCTTTTTGGTGAGCGTGAAGCAACTGGTGGGGAAAATTTCATTTTTGGTGCCATGAGGCAGCTGTCACCCTGCCCTGCTCCAGGATACGCAGACTTCCCACCAAGCAGGGGCTCTGTCCCTCTCCCCATCCACATGCCATGGCAGGACCCCAATCTGGACTCAGGTCTGAAGGTTTTAGCCCTATGACTCTGCTCTCTACAACTCAAGCAATACTCTGGCTGCTCCAGCACCGCCCTGGCACAGCCCCTCCCCGGGCAGTTTTGCTCCCAGGGCATTTCACAGCGATTCTCAAGGCTCTGCAGACCCACTCCAGCCAGAGAGCCGCAGCGAAGGGGCTTTGCCAACAGCTTTGCGATGAACAAAGGAGCGCGGGATTTCTGGGAGCTGAGCTTGGCACTGGTCCCCTCCCAGCTCGGGAGCGATGGGATTCACAGATTTGTGGGGGACTCTAGCAGCTGGCTCCGTCATGTAGATTTTGCCGGCTGCCAGATTTGGGTAATGACACACTGACTCGGGAGATAGGAATCCAGGATTCAACTCCTTCAAGCTCTCTTCTAGCTGGGTAATGAATTGAACTATTCATCATTTGATAAAATTTCCATGAAAAGACGAAGCGAGGAGGGGGGTGGTGACCCTGCATTGCATTTCCAGGGTATGAATTACAGCGCCCAGCGAGCCTGCTGGCCACAGACAGGCAATATTAAAGCGCCAGATTAATGCTGCATTGAATCTCAATTAAAACTCATTAAAAAGCCGCAGGCCAGACAAGTTGCCTTTGATGAGAGTAATACTTCTTGCAATGGGGAGCTTCCATTTTTAGACTCAAAGCAGCCCGTTATGCCTCTTCCCAACCCCCAGAAATCCCACTGAAGCTAAAGATAAGTGAACATCCACCCTGCTGGAGACAAGGGGACTTGTTCTGTACTTTATTAACAATTCAGTGCTGACTGCCTTGTTCCATCCCATTCCAGCTGGTCAGCAACACGACCTCCTACACCATTACATGCTCTCCACCCAGCATGTCCTGCAAAGCAGCTCCTCCAGAAGAGCCACCATCCCTCCATACCTTGAACACACCTCAGGAATCCCTTTTGCACAATTACTTATTTATGAGCCTGGGCCTGGGCAGCCCAAACAAGCGAGGTTTTTCCAACTGCCATGTTGCTGAACCCCAACTGAAAATATACAGATTTTAAGGCAGCAAGAGGCAGAGAAAGCCCTGCTCCTCCCGTACCCTCCGTGGTTGTGTCTGCCTTCACTGCTGCCCCTCTACCACCAGGAAAAGCACCTGCCCTTTGTCACAGCACTGTGTCTGAGTGGAGCCCTGGTCCCGCTCCCCCCAGCACACAGCCCCAGCTCAGTTCAGCTGGATCTGCAAAACCCCACAATGATAAATCCCATTAATCTGTTTTCTAGAGGTGTTGGTTAGCTTGCACCTAAGCCATTAACATGAGCTTTATTAGTATTATTTGGAGGTGTTTCTCAAGCATCAGAGCACACAGTGCTTCATCAAAATCCTTTTTAGCGCACTGCCTAGAGAAGACTCCACCCGTTACTTCCCCAGAAATAAAGCCAAGCTGTGCTGTCCAAAGCCTAATTTCTGCAAAGCCATTTTCCCTGATAACATGGCCCAGTGCCTTAAATCAAGCTTCCTATTGATTGAACCAGCATCAGCTTTTCCATGGGATCAGCATTTGCCCCAGACACCAACTGTGCCCTTCCCAACAAGGCAGAAGACACTGTGACCTGCCACCAGGATCATGGCGTTATAACCGTGACCTCCCAATCAAGGACCTCTGCAGTAATTACTATTTCCCCATGTTAGGGCATCATTTATTTGCTGTGTTTGATCACGACAGGCCACAGTTGTAATTTCCCCTCTGGGTTTTGGTTTTGGCTTCATCTGCTTGCTGAACTATGAGGATAGCCGTTATTTAGGCAGCATGGCTCGATGACTAATGCCAATTAATACATAATAAAGCCAGAAGAGACCATAGGATAATTCAGGCTAATGCATGCCACGAGACCTCCCAGATGGCACCCTCTTTTAAACTGCGTCTTTTAGAAAAACCTCCAGTCATTTTAAAACTATATTCCCCAAATTAACATGCCCCCAGGCCCCCACTAACTTGTGTTCATGGTTAATTTTATTTACGGCTTTGGAAACAGCCTCTGGTGATGGATGGGAGCTGGCAGCACCATTGCCATACCAAGAGACTGCTGCCATGCCTCTGCCTGCCAAAATACACCCAGCACAACCCCCGCTCGAATGTTAAATTTGTCTAACCCCTCCCTGACCACAGGGTTCCCACTTGGGTCTCCCCAAAGATCCCAGTACCCTTTTGATGGCAAATAAATTCAGAGAGCCCAGCCATGGGCTCCTTCCTCCCACTTGTGTTCTGCATCCTGTGACTCACATCCCTTCTTCCCCAAGCCCCGCGCCGCTCGCCCGCCCTCAGCCTGCCTTCGTGCTCTTCCTGCTCGCTGGTATAAAGCACGAAGTCATCCAGGGTGAGAAATCATTCACCCAGCCCCAGTAAGCCATCAAGAAATTCCCTGCTTGCCATGAGACCCAGGCGTGTCAGCACTGTTTGTCTGTTGCTTTTGCAAACACAGAATCCCTGAATCTTCCCAGTTGGAAAAGACCTTGAAGATCATCCAGCCCAACCATGAACCTCACCCTGACCGTTGTCAACTCCACCAGATCCCTCAGTGCTGGGTCAACCCGACTCTTCAACCCCTCTAGGGATGGGGACTCCCCCCCTGCCCTGGGCAGCCCATTCCAACGCCCAACAACCCCTTCTGCAAAGAAATACTTCCTAAGAGCCAGCCTGACCCTGCCCTGGCGCAGCTTGAGGCCATTCCCTCCTGTCCTGTCGCTTGTTCCCTGGTTCAAGAGACTCACCCCCCCTCTCTGCACCCTCCTTTCAGGGAGCTGTAGAGGGTGATGAGGTCTCCCTTCAGCCTCCTCTTCTCCAGACTAAACCCCCCCAGTTCCCTCAGCCGCTCCCCATCAGACCTGTGCTCCAGACCCTGCACCAGCTCCGTTGCCCTTCTCTGGACACGCTTGAGTCATTCAATGTCCTTTTTGTAGTGAGGGGCCCAAAACTGAACCCAGTAATCAAGGTGCAGCCTCACCAGTGCCGAGTACAGGGGTGAGATCCCTTCCCTGTCCCTGCTGGCCAAGCTAGTGCTGATACAGACTCGCTCAGCTTTGTAACAGGGACCCTTTTCTTTATACTTAATGCGTTTGGGCTGGTTTTTGGATGGCAACAGAGATCAAACTCGAGGCCCAGACCCTCACATGACCAGCTCTTCTACAGCAGGGGTGACGTTGCACCAATTCCTACAGCACCTTCTCAGCTGAAGGCCACGACCTCGGCAGCATTTACTACAGAGCCTGGAGAAGGAAAGCCCTGGCCATGTCATGCCATGCCATGATGCCAGAGAGGTGTCACAGAGTTTGGGCAGCTCCCTGAGCAAAAGAGGCGTGGGCTCTTTTTGCATTTCAATCGGTTCTTCTCCATCCTATTTATAACCTGCTTAAACTCTCCCGGATAGCAAACTCCCCCAAAAGAGCGAGGTCTGGGGATGTGCTGCGGCTGCTTGCATTTCTTCCTGTGGGAGGGAAGGGGGTGGCTTGGGACACCGATGAAACCAGCTTGTTTCACATACTGACAGCAGATATTTCTGTCCCCTCCTTTCCTTCCCCAGCACCCCCCCCCCACACACCCCAGTAAAAGCTTTTTGTGGCTCCCCATGCCTCGGACTTGCACTAGGACAGCTTGGAGGCCTGGCGTTAGGCACCCAGACCTGATTTTCAAATCAGCTTTCCTCCAAGGATGAATTGCTCAGGAATATTTGTGAAGTTTATAAAACTCCTGTTTCCAGCACCGCCTGGGAAGTGGCCCCAGCGTGGGAGTTGTTGTTGCAGGAATGCCATAAACGCCTGGCCCTGAAAGCACTGGGAGCTGTGGACTTTACTGGTTTTA